CCGACGCAGCTACCTGACCAGACTCAGCAACCGGAGGAGACACGGTAGTCAGGGTGTACAGGCTCGACCCAGGCTGGCGGGTGAACGTGGCCAGGTGCCGGCCCGTCCGAGTACACGAACAGTGGGTCACCCGCTGACCTCCAGGAGTGAACTGGTCAACCCAGGCGTCCTGAAGGTCAGCTCCACTCACCAAGTTCATGGAGAACGAGGGGAGGTGGAGGCCAGACAGAGAGCCAGACGGGACCGCCGGACACGGCAGAACCGTGGAGGAGTGTGCAAGGACCGGACCCCCAGAGGGGTCAGCCAGAGAGACTGCCACTGGCCGTCTGAGCGGCGAGAGTGTGGTGCAGTTGCGAAAGAAGGAGCGGGAAGCACCCGAGTCAAGGGTGAAAGTGTGCAAGGCCGCAGCAGGCGCAGTACCAGAGAGAGCAGACTCACCAGCACCTGGAGCAGTGGACTCACTAGCGCCTAGAGCAGCAGCCTCACCAGCACCTGGAGTAGGAGACACGCCAGCACCTAGAGCAGCAGCCTCAACAGCACCTAGAGCAGCAGACTCTATACATGGGTCAGGCAGCACACACAGGTAACAGGCACCCTCAGCACTAGTAGGCAATGCATACATGGCAGTGAGGATAGCATCATAGTCAAGAGCAAAGATATCTACCCTCCGCCTAAGCAGCTCCAGCCAGGAGGGGAGCTCAGCGTCGTCGCCAAACTCTGTACGCCAGGCGTCGCTCGGAGAGGAGAAGCAGCGGGACTCTGTGTGACCAACCGTCCCGCAAGGCTGACCAGCCCGAGCACCAGTGCGAATGACGTACGGGCAGCGAGCAGTACTCCGTGACCCTCTACTCTGAGCGTACCACTCACGAAGCTGCTGGGGCGAAACGGTCGCGCGCGGACGCCGCTGCAGCTGCACCTGGTCACTACAAGAAGCTCCCGAACGACCCGTGCTAGGGCGACTCCCACCACGGCCACCCCTACAACCCCAACTAGCGTACCACTCACGAAGCTGTTGGGGCGAAAGGATCTCGCGCGGACGCCGCTGCAGCTGCACCTGGCCACTACAAGAAGCTCCCGAACGACCCGCTCCAGGGCGACTCCCACCACGGCCACCCCGACAACCCCAACTAGTGTACCACTCACGAAGCTGCTGGGGCGTGAGGGACTCACGCGGTCGTCGCTGGAGCTGCATCTAGCCACTGCCAGTTGCAGCAGTAGTAGTAGTAGCAGTAGTAGCAGCAGTAATAGCAGGAACAGCAGCAGCAGCACGACGCGGCTCGGCGGGGCGGCTCGGCGCGGCTGAGCGACGCGGCTCAGCTGGGCGGCGCGGCTCGGCTGGCAGGCAGGCGCGGCAGGCAGGCAGGCAGGCCGGCGCGGCAGCGCGCTAGTAAGGCAGGCACGCGGGAAGCGCGGGTAGGGCAGGTGCTCACCAGTGGCGGGAAGGGCCGACGGCGGCGACGGCGGGGTCGCGACAGCTGCAGGGCAGGGCCGCGACAGCGGCAGGGCGGGGCCGTGACGGCGGCAGGGGGCTCCGCGGCAGCTGCTACAGGGCGGGGCCGCGACTGAGGCAGGGGGCTCCGCGGCAGCTGCTGTAGGGCGGGGCCGCGACTGCTGCAGGGGGCTCCGCGGCAGCTGCTACAGGGCGAGGCCGCGACTGAGGCAGGGGGCTCCGCTGCAGCTGCTGCATGGCGGGGCCGCGACTACTGCAGGGGGCTCCGCGGCAGCTGCTGCAGGGCGGGGCCGCGACTGCTGCAGGGGGCTCCGCGGCAGCTGCTGCATGGCGGGGCCGCGACTGCTACAGGGGGGGGGATCCGCGACGAGCAGGGACGGCGCCCCGACGAGCAGAGACGGCGCCCAGTGGGCGCCGCGACGAGTAAGGGCGACGCCCCGGGGGCGCCGCGACGAGCAGAGACGGCGCCCAGTGGGCGTCGCGACGAGTAAGGGCGACGCCCCGGGGGCGCCGCGACGAGCAGAGACGGCGCCCGGGGGGGCGCCGTGACGAGCAGAGACGGCGCCCAGTGGGCGTCGCGACGAGTAAGGGCGACGCCCCGGGGGCGCCGCGACGAGCAGAGACGGCGCCCAGGGGGCGCCGCGACACGCAGGGGCGACGCTCAGGGGGCGCCGCGACGAGTAAGGGCGACGCCCGGTTCGATAGGGCGGCGCTCGGGTCTGGAGGGCGGCGCGCGGGCTGCAGAGGCAGCTCCCACGGGCTGCAGGGGCGACACGCGGCCCGACAGGGCGGCGCACGGGCTGCAGAGGCAGCGCCCATGGGCTGCAGGGGCAGGCACGGCTGCGAGGGCAGCGCCCACGGGCTGTAGGGGCAGGCACGGCTGCAGAGGCAGCGCCCACGGGCTGCAGGGGCAGGCACGGCTGCAGGGGCAGCGCCCACGGGCTGCAGGGGCAGGCACGGCTGCAGGGGCAGCGCCCACGGGCTGCAGGGGCAGGCACGGCTGCAGAGGCAGCGCCCATGGGTTGCAGGGGCAGGCACGGCTGCAGAGGCAGCGCCCACGGGCTGCAGGGGCAGGCACGGCTGCAGGGGCAGTATGGTCGCAGGGGCAGCACGCGGGCTGCAAGGGCAGCGCGGCTGCAGGGGCAGCTAAAAAAAAATATTTTCAGTTAGGGCAGGGCGGAACGCTGGTGGGCCCTAGGAACGATTCTGCTCTAGTACCATGTGAAAATAAGAACGAGGAATGACTAGAAACAGGACAGTACAAGGTTTGTATAGGCAAAACCTAACAATTCTGTACCCCATGTAAGTAAAGAGAAGACGAGCAAACGCTACGATCATTCGTACCACCCATGTTTTCCCCCCATAGTCCAGCTTCCGGTATAGAGTGACTCTCCGCAGCATCGTCGTTGACGTTTGCGGCAGCCAAGAAGACTTCAACGCCGAAGATCCACCCCTTCACTATAGCATTCTTGTCCGTAGGATTCAACGGGGGCAGGTTGCTGGTTTAATATTGATCGTCGTTACTGCGATTGTTGTCGCGACACCTGACGCTCGCTGCCTAATCTCTTCTTCGAAAACTCGTATGACAGTTGCCTTTGCCGAGTCTTGGCGCGCTTCACCTCGCGCCTGGCGTAGCTCGGTATTTTCTTCACGTGGTCTTTCCACTTCTGTCGTTAGCGCCTTCATGGCTGCCGACATTATTGCTACTTGTTGCGTCAGCGTGTTCGAAGCCGCCTGGTCCATCTAGTGGGCAGCTGTCTATTTGTGACTATCCGGCAACAGTGCAAGTGCAAAAGCTACCGGGGTCGGGCCACCGTACCAGTCACATCCGTGCCACTAAACTACCATCAAAAAGAGGGGTGAACTAGGAAAGTGGCTCTGATACCGAGTGTTATAAGTTGTAAAACATAGTTGCGTGGAAAACGAGGAAAGAAGCTTGTTACTAAATCAACTGTCGATACAATGAAGGATGCACCACAGTATAATGACTACCCTAGCTAGGCAGGAACCTTGGGCACGCGAGGTTGGGTGCAGGTTGGGCAAGGGAAATCTGAAGGCGACGAGGGGCAGCCTCAGGATTGTCGATGTCGGCCGGACGTGCAAGCCCGAAAGTTGGGCTTGTACGCGAAGCAGACAACCCCGAAAATGGAAAGGGTAATTTTCCTGATGAAATATCTCAATGAACAAACGACTCCGCCCAACAGAGCTCACTGCCGCGAGAAAAAAATCAAAAAACTCATAAAGGTGCCATGCATCCGGTCAGGGAGGCATCAATCCTAAACACATGTAGGCATGTGTTTAGGGTTGATGTCTCCCTCGGATGGCATGCCATTCGATGGGGTTTTATTTTTTTTCTGCCTGGGGACAGCAGTTCGACGGAGGTCGACAGGTAGACGGAGGTTCGACGGAGCCGTCGACCCATTTCCGTTGAGATATACCTTACATGTGGTATGTATTTTCCAAAATAAGTACTTTTGGGACACGCCCTAATTTCTCACCGTGCCATTCCTGTGACTCTCTACACCGCCCCCCACTCCTCAGACCCACCGCTGCCCGCTGCTGCTTTCACCTTCATTCCCGCCATCGCAGGAGCAGTGAGCGCATCTGTGCGCGCGGCTCGCCTTTTTCACGTTTTACTCCGCGCGCCGCGGGGTTCAATAGCCTCGTTTCCTGTTCGAAGCGCGCCGCAGTGCCGTGGGCACGATTTCGACGTTGACTCCGCTCCCTCGCGGAACTCAACTCGCGCGCTATTCCCCCGCGCCGCGCAGCCAGTCCCGCCCCCCTCCGCGCCCCGCCCGCCATGTGACAAGTACACCCTGCACCTGTCAACTCCGCGGACATTCGCTTGCGCTCATCCTCAACACCCCCACCAGTCCCTGCCGCCCATCGCCGCCCGTTCAACCGGAAGGAGTCCTTCCGCTCGCTCCCGCTTCTCCCCTCGTCTCCTCCCATCGCCGCCACCCACCCCTCCTGCCTTCCGCCGCGCCCGTTTCTTAATTCCTTGCGTTCCGTTCATTCCGCGCATTCCGCGCGCCTCTCTCCCCGCCCGGCCCCCACCCTCGCTAGTTCCTGCGCGCTAGTTTCCTCTCCTCCCGCCTGCGCTGATCCGTCCCTCTTCTCGATCGCCCCTCCCTGTAGCAGCAGCAGCGGTCGTCAGTCATGCGGCAGCCGTCCGTGCATTGAGCGCCAGCGGTGAGGTGCACATCCTCACCCAAGCTGTAGTAGCGCCTGTGGCCGGGCCGGGCTTACTCGAAGGGTTGAAAGGCATCCGTTGCGCCTCTCTAACGCCTTCGTTTTGACCCAGTGGTATATCGGGGTGTTATACAAGCATACTGAGCCCTCCCTCCCCTCCCTCGCCTCCCTCCGCTCCCTCATCCTCCTGGACCATAGGACCAGCACGCAACCCACGCCATGGACGCGCGCATCGCCGCCCACCGCTTCACACCGCTGCTCACCGCTGCGCGCACCGCTGCTCACCCCTGCTCACGGCCTTCAAGATGGTGAAAGCTGCAATTGCTATCTCACGTGGGAACCTCAAGGAGCCACGAGCATGGCAGGCGCGCACACTCGTGTGGAGGCAGCACTGGGAGTTGGAGAAGCAGCAGGGCCTTGGGGTTTTGAGACGTCTCAAAGCGCGCACAGTCACGTGGAGGCAGCACTCGGAGTGCAGGGAGTTGGAGAAGCAGGGCCGCCTTGGCCTCCCGACAACCTGCATCACTCTGCTAGTTTCCAGGCTGATAGGCAACAAGGAGAGCCGTCTCGGCAGCACGTGCAGGCGGTGCACCATGGGCGGCTGTTAAGGCGTGAGGGGGTGCTTCATCTGTGTCGGCTGCTGCTGCTTGCAGCGTGGGCAGCGGCGTGCATTGCCGGTGCCTGGGGGCTGGCTGGGGACCACCGCGGCCTCAGAGGTACGCCCTCCTGCTAAGTTGGTGTTGAGTGGTGCTGCTGAGGGCTGCTGTGTGGTGCTGAATGCTGCTGTGTGGTGCTGAATGCTGCTGTGTGGTGCTGAATGCTGCTGTGTGGTGCTGAATGCTGCTGTGTGGTGCTGAATGCTGCTGTGTGGTGCTGAGTGCTTCCCAGTGGTGCTGAGTAGTGCTGAATAGTTTGAGTGGTGCTGAATGCTGCTGAGTGGTCTACCTCACAAACCCCCAAACCAATTCTTAAGGCTCCTGGTAAGCAGTTGAGAAGCAAGGGCTTTGACGCACGCTTTGTTAATATGATGTAATGCAGAGCTGTTCTGACTGGTCCGCCTCACGAGCCCTTAATGCACCTTTCGCCTCCAACGCTTCCCCGTGCACCACCATTACACCACCCTCACGCCACCCTCACACCACCACCCTCACACCACCCCCTCACCACCCCCTCACACCACCCCCTCACCACCCGCACGCCACCCTCACACCACCACCCTCACACCACCCCCTCACCACCCGCAATCCACCCTCACACCACCCTCACACCACCCTCACACCACCCTCACACCACCCTCACACCACACCTCGCACCACACCTCGCACCACCCCCAAACCCCCCTTCATCTGCCCTCTCCCCCCAACCCCCCTTTACCCAACGCCCCCCTCTCTCCGGCTCCTCCCCCCTCTACCAGACTGTGCAGACATCTTGGCGGCAGGGGTGGCTCTCACTCCCACCACCCATACGCACTCCTCCGCGCCCCCCTCCTCCACCTCCGACTCGAATAACACCTCCCCCATTGTAGATAGCACCTCCCCCAACTCTACCTCCAGCAGCAGCAGGGCAGGCGAGTGGGGGCACCACCGGAGGTACGAGCGGCGGGAGGTGGAGTGCTGGAGCCGGGCGGAGCTGCCTTGCTACGAGGGCATGAGCAGGCACACGCAACAACAAGGCAAAGGCGAAGGCAACACGGATAGTTCTTTCTCTGAGGCACATGCGCAGGTGAAGCTGCGGCAGTACCACACGTACCGCCGCGAGTGCCTCCACCGCGAGCCCCTCGACCTCCTGCGCTCCACCCTCCTCGCTGGCAACCCCACCTCTTGCCGCTACCTCGTCTTCTACCACCCCTCTGACGGCCAGGGCAACCGCCTCATCTCCCTCGTCTCCGCCTTTGCCTACGCGCTGCTGACCGATCGGATTTTTCTGTTGAGCTCTAAGAGTGGCCCCGCTGCCGTGCTGTGCGAACCGTTTGAGCATGGCGAGTCGTGGGTGCTGTTTGGGCGCGAGGAGAAGCTGGAGGAGCATCATGCGCAGGTGCTGCGAGTGAAGGTGGCCAGGGAGTGGCGGGAGGTGAGGCAGGGGAGGGAGAAGATGGGGAAGAAGGGAGGTGGGCGGAGGAGGCTGGTGGAAGGGTTGGTGCAGGGGGGGAGAGAAGGGCGGTGGAGGGAGCAGTGGTTTGGGGAGTGGCAAGAGCACTCGGGAAGGGAGCAAAATGAGGAACAGCTAGATAAGCATCTAGGGCAGCGGCGTTTGCTGCAAAACATCAATCTAAACACTCCAGCACCACCAGCAGCAGCAGCACCACCACCTCCAACAGCGCCAACAGCAGCAGAAGCAGCAGCAACAGTTTCTACACCCACCTCTCCAATGCTTCCTCCTCCAATGGCCCCATCACTTCAACTCCCACCCGTACCTCCCCCTCCCCCTCCCCCTCCCCCTCCACCCCCACTTCCACCGATCCTTCCAATGCCAACCCCACCACTGCCACCCACTGCATTGCCACCACCACCAACACCACCACCACCAACAACACCAACACCAACACCAACACCAACACCAACAACACCAACACCAACGCCATTCCCAACACCACCACCACTAGCGGCAGCAGCAGCAGCACCCCCCCCACCACCTCCGCTACCACCACCCCCACCTTTACCCTCTCCGCCCCCCCCTCCACCACCTGAAGCGCCAGCAGAAGGGGAGGACGAAGTACCACCAGTGTATGTCATCCATTCCAATGCCATCCCGTGCTGTCCCATGCCATTTCGTGCCATACCATTGTGTGTACCATGCCACGTGTGTGTGTGCCATGCCCATGTGTGTGTGCCATGCCCAATGCATGTGTGTCATGCCTATGGGTCTATATGATTGCCACGGCAATTCACGGTAGTGCCATGCCATCACTCAATCCCATGCCATGACTGAATGAAATGCCATCGTCTCTCCGTCCCCTCACTCCCCAAATCCCCGCTTCCTTCCTTCCCCATTCCCCCCCAAAACCCCCCATTCCAATAACCCTCCCCCCAGTCTACGAGTGGACATTTTTCACTCGACCCCTTCCTCCGGTTTCCTCTTCTTCTGCGAATCCGAGCAGCAATGGCTCTCCCGCACGCCCACACTCCTCCTCTCCTCCAACCAGTACTTCCTGCCCGCCCTCTACCTCCTCCCCTCGTTCCGCCGCCGCCTGCTCCTCCTCTTCCCCTCCCACCAGCCCTTCCGCTCCCTCGCCCGCCTCCTCCTCTTCCCCCGCAACCGCATCTGGGCGCAACTCACCCACCGCTTCCACTCCCTCATCGCCCCCGCGCCCGCGCGTATTGGCCTGCAGGGCCGCTTCCCCACGCACGCGAACGAAGGTCGACTGCGGTACGACACGGTGAACATGGGTCGGTGCCTGTTGGATGCTCTCAACTCGTCGGTCCTGCAGGAGGCCAGGGAGATGAGGCTTGTGGCGGATTGGGAAGAGGGCGGGCGAGGGAGGGGGGTGGTGGAGGGGGCTGGGGCAGCGGAAGGAGGGGAGTTAGGGAGAGTTTTCACAAGCAGTGGCGGCAGTAGCAGCAGCAGCAGTGGCAGCGACGGCAGTGGGGATGACTATGGGTTAGAGGGGTTGTCAGGGAATGTGACAGAGGTGATGGTGGCATCTCTGAACGCGGCTCTGGTGCATAACCTGTCAGTGGCAGTGACAGGCAACATGAGTGCAGTGCGAGTGAGTGTGGGGCATGACGCCACACACGCTGCCATGGGTGTTAAGCTACCTCCCATTAACACCAATGCTGCTTCTCCTGCTCTTCCTGCTGCTGCTCCTGTGCCCACGTCTCCAGATGTAGCCAACAGCAGCAGCAGCAACGGCGCATCCGACACCCACGTGCACATAGTCCGGCTAACGATCGATGAGAAGCAGAACAATGGCGACAAGGCCGGAGTGGACCGAGCCATGGTGGACATCTACACTCTAGCTCTCTTTTCCGACGCCCTCGTCATCTCCGAGGTCTCCACCTTCGGCTACCTCTGTGCCTCCCTCTTCGGAGTGCCCCGCACCACCTTCGTCAGTGCCACGTGCAAGCGAGCGCCGCCTGAGCCGTGCCTGCACTTCCCGCCGGGGAACAAGCGGTGCCCGGACGGGCAGGCACAGGTGCTAGAGCAGGCGTTGGCTGCGGACCCGCATGTGCCGCTCATGCACTGCGTGGATGTGAGAAATGGGCTCATATTGAAGCCTCTTGAAGGATGGGAGTAGGCCTTCTGAGTAGGGTAGGGTCTGGATAAGCTTGCGCGTGAAGTGTCGCTGTGCTATAATGTCGGCTAATTTCAAATTAAGTACCGTAGTTGAACACCCGGAGGTCCTGCAGTATTATTCATTTATTCCAACTCGTAACGTGTTGGGGAATAGATTGAGCAAAAAATGGTTGTGGAAGATTACAATATGCGAAAGATTGTGGTACATTGTAACATTGCCTGTTACGAGTGGAATTGAGTGAGCGAGAAAATTTTGAACTAACAAGGCAAAACAATACAATGAGCGAAGTCATGAGCGAATTGTTGTACGGTAGCGAAATCATAAGGTAACGTAACGAGTGATCGCAAAAAGTGCCCCTCGGGCCTAGCGCAAAGGTTGGGAAAATGTCGAGGCATAGGACCGGGCCACAGGTTACAAGCCGAGCCGTGTAGTTTGCTCGTGACGGTGGTGGCAGTGGGAACAGTTTCCAGGCGAATTACTTGAGTGTTGACGATAATTGGCTCCGCCCTTGCTTGGGCGATGCCGACTTCGCAGTCGGGTGCGTTGGAGATACAACCGGCCGACTTCCTTCAGTGGACGCCGACTTGGGGGAGGAAGTCGATGGAGTTGGTCGACTTCGGCGGGACCACTGCGACGGCGCCGACGAGGCGAAGTCGGCTGACGGCTTCGGCACGGGCGGTCGACGAAGGCGTTCGTCGACCAGATGTCAAGTCAACACGGCCTTTTCTGGTCGACCATGTAACCTGGTCGACGAAGTTATGCGGAAGTGCGCGAACTTTGCCCCGATAGGTTTTGGCGGAGTCGACCTGCGTGGCGACATCACGTGGTCGACATGGTGCACCTGAGCAGTCATCGACATATGGTCGACCCGGGACAGGCGCAACGTGCGTGACGGTGCACGACGTGTTCAACCGACTACCTGCACCTACTTGGTAGGTGCGCACATGTGCGCATGCCACCAAGCTGGCGAGTTTGGCGCAGCGAGTATGGAGGTGCTCCTCCTATGCTTTCGTGCACAGTGGGCACGCGGGCATCCCCCTCCCCAAACTAAAGTGGACGATGCGTCCACCTCTCCCCGACCTGGAAGCAACGAGGGCGGCGGCAACAACCTCGGCGAAGGAGGCACGAGGGTGACGCGTGGTGTGATTCGGGCCGCCGACGTCGGCGTCGGTGGAATGCATGCGCGGGTACTGCAGTCGGGGGCTGCGGTCAGCTTGCAAGACGACGTCGATGGTCGACGTCGATCTCTCCAGTGAAGCGGATTCGAAACAACTTCGGCGACCTACATTTCAGCCGGCCACGACAGCAGCATCGCTTAGACCTTCGACATGACCTTATCACGTGGACGAAGTCGATTGAGCAGAAGCTGGAGATCATGGGCCCGAAGAAGTTCGTCATGGGAGCGCTGGACAAAGACGACGCCGAAGCTGGAGATCATGGGCCCGAAGAAGTTCGTCAGTGGACGGAATGCTGCGCCGCCCACTTGCTGACTTTCTTGGTCATTTCGCGGTGTTTCTCGTTGATGGTGTAAGCTGCTTTGTAGCCTTGCCGACTTCGAATGAACGTTGGCTTCGAGGCGTGGGCGTTTATCAAGGTGGCCTACAAGGCGACCGGCGACCTCTACATCGGAGCGGTTGGCCAACATCAACATGGGCGAGCAAGAGTCAGTGACGGAGCACTGTATGACCGACCTGCGGTTGGCCGACGTCGACTACTCGGCTGCGTCCTACATTACACACGTCGTCAAGGTTCTCCTACGGGCTACAACCTGATGCGCCGATTGATGGCATACGCACGCAACTCTATGAGGAATCCTAAGGCGAGCTTCATCATCCAAGATAAAAACATGCAGGAGTCAGAGCGGGCCACGGAGCTTCTTCTGCAGCCCAACTACGTTGCCTCGCGTAGCAAGGACGTCAGCATGTGTAACGTAGGAAGTCGGGCAGAGGTGGAGGTGGGAAATCGACAAGCAACAAGTCGGCGAACGAGCGGACTACTCGACGTCGGCCAAGGATAACGAGCACAGTGGTAAGTGCCAAGGTGGGCGCCAGTGCTCCATTTGTGGCGACCTTGACCATCTTGCCTACGATTGTCTCGACCAGGAGGAGTATGCTGGCGGCCAGAAGGCTAACCACGGGATAATCGACAGCGACCGTCATCGTCGTGGCAACCAGCCTCGCAAGGGAAGCTGACGTCGAAGACGTCATTTGCAAAAGACGCTGACACCTCCAGGGGCAATGCACGCGGTGACGGAGCGGCCTCGTGCTCGATGGTCAGTGTGGTGAAGCCGACGATCTCGCTGGCTCCAGAGGCCGACGAGGACATCTATGTCAAGAATGTAACGGGCGAGAATGAATGACTAGAAGCATGGAAGGGTTCAAATATGAGGAAGCCCTAGCATGACCTAGCCCACCAAAATACAACAACTCAGGTCGTCTCAACTAGTCCAACCACTATGGCACGTGGTCACAAGACCAGTCAGCAAGAAACAACACGGCATGACATGCAAACCAGGGTGACACAACTATTCCAACCTCTGTGACGAGCAAGGCCATAAGACGAGTCCATGAGTTCGCACGGTATATGTACATATATGTAAAATCTACATCGTTATATAATACAATCAGTGGAGCAAGCAACAGAATTCAAGAAACAAGCAAGTAAGGACAAAATTTTACTAGTCCGAGCTGAGTACAGAACTATTGATGGTCACAAGGCTGACATGCCTTGGTGATTTTTTTTGCGGTGTTGGCCTCTAAGCCACAGTAACCGCGCATGCCTGGCAGCGCTGCTGTAGCTCGCGCAAGAAGAAGTTTCGCAGCTCAATGTGCTTCATATGCCCCAACAGTTGTGGCTCCTGACACAACAAGCTCATGGCTCTTTGTCAGCGAAGAGCATTGGGGCAGTACGAGACGGCCCAGGTCAGAGAGCAGAAAGGTGAGCCAGTGCCACTCCGGTACAGCCATGGCACCGGCGTAGATATCAGCCTCACAGATAGAGCAACTTACGACGCACGAGTCGACCTCCAAGACACAGTTCTAGAGCCGAGACTAAAGCAGTAGCCATGTGAAGACCTCCAAAACTGAACGTCGTCTGCCCACAACTCGTCGCTGTGGCCAACGAGCCTGATTGCCCGTCTCCATCCAAGCACAAGCCCCATGCATGATGTGCTCCCCAGATAGAACACAACCCTCTTAGCGGCCTCCAGTCGACAGGGCAGTGTTCCGGGTGCAACGAGCTCCAACGTTGAGAGAGTATGCAAGATCTGGACGACTATATGCCATCACGTATATAAGGCAGCCCACCGGCTCTGCGTAGTCACCACTAGGCTCAGCAGGCTTGTCAGAAACAAGAAGTGTGAGCTTGTGATGGACTGCAAGCAGAGTGACATGCGGGGTGGAGTAGCGAAAGCGGAACTGCTCAAGGATTTGCTGCACCATGTGCGACTCAGACAGTGTAATGGTGCGCGATGCTCTGTCAGTGCAGGTGTGTCTCCTCTGCAGTTCCGCGTTCACCGAAGCCAATGCAACTCTGTCAGGCGTAGCAAATACGAGGTCGTCAACATAAACAAGTACATAGAACGGTGTGGAGCCAGAACGGACGAAGAGAGCAGGGGCAGCAGAAGACGGAGAGAAGCAAAGAGACATTAGAGTGGTGTGCATTGTGTTGTGCCACTCGCGAGGCGCCTGACACATACCATAGACTAGCAGCCTGAGACCCCACTGGGTGCAAGGAGGAAATGACTGAGTAAAAGTAGGCGGGTGGCGTAGCGAGATCTGCTCATGGTGGCTGTTTTGGAGAAACGGAGTGCAATAGTCCAGTCAGTGAAGCTACTAGCCACGCCGTGCTGCTACGTGCAAAGAACTCTACCCCCTCTCGCTGACTGAAGTCTCTCGACATGTAACGCGCCTTGAAGACACGCATCCAGGCGACCGCTTCACCTTGAAGATCTGCATGCCATCAACTATGTTCATCCCAAGAGGGGGACCTACATTGATATAGGTGCATGTGGACCTCCAAGATGCCATCTATGCCTCCATGCTTGCTATCCACTGTCCCGAACTACCTTAGTGTAAGAGCGAGGAGTCGGGATGTGAAAGGTGCGAGGGTCACCCTCAGGAGCTAGCAGTATGGTACAGAGATGGGAAGTAGCGACTGCAAGGAAAGCCAGCTGAGACAGACGTAGGAGGAGCTGTAGGGTGAGTGACAAGAGAGGAAAGGACACGAGATACTGTAGGAAAAGCGGCACGCAGGAAGTTAGAGAGTGAAAGAAGCACATTGCGGGATGACTGAGGAGGAGACGGGAGACGAGGACGAGACACACAAGGAGGAGAGGAACAGAGGCTCATAGGGTGATGGCCAGGGACAGAGGACAAGCGACGAGCACGAGGAGCACGCCGAGTAGTGCAAAGTTTATATAAAGATTTGGGATATTACTTATTTTGGGCGATTATTGAGACATGACTATAAAAGGATCTTTGGTTGGGTGGATAAGTAGACGCTTTGACTTTAGGGATGGGTGGCCATATGATTCTAGCATGGGCTGCAAATATTGCAATACCTAGGCACAATCCAATTGGATAAGATTTTGCATGTGACACTTCAAGGGCCTCATGATGAGGGTTGCATCTTTGATACTAGGAAGCTTCCTACTATGCTTCCATAGCAGTTGGAGAGCCTTTCCTGCACAAAGTGTTCTTGGCCACCCCAACTCTATTATTCTATACCTAATATTTGTTCGTCTCCCATCATTCAAGTGAAAGTTGGAGCTAAACGTTTTCAAGTCGTTCTCATTCCATGGACCATCTTTTTGCGTGATTCGAATAGGAGATGGTAGCCAACACTAAGGTGCGCAATCCTATCAAGCCAATTAGAATCTAGGTGAGATTTGAGTTCATGTAAGTCCTCAGAGTGACGGATCTTGTGCATCATTCACCAACATGTAATTCACCCGTTGTTACATGCAACACCCGACCGAACCAAGAGCAATGGACAGGCAC